ATTGTCTTAAAATCTTAAATACGAATTTCCGTAGGACGCTCAAGACAATACTTTATATGCCTCCTTAAACTGCATGTGCCAGACCCTGAACGAAGATTTAAGACTTCACCACAGTTCTTGCACTTTACTTTTTGACCTTCTTCATTTTATTCTACCACCTCAAAGTGTTGTCAAACATATGAGCGCACTCTAGAAGTACGAGGCATGATTTAACTTGAATTGAGATTTGAGAATTGAGATTGAGAAATGAGAATTGAGAGATGAGTGAAGAAATGAGGAAAAGGAGGGGGGTATTTATAGTTTTAGAGAAGGTTAATTTTGTAAATTGAAAAAAGGTTAAATTTTAAAGAAAAAAGAGGCTATTAATGCAATTAAGGGTGTTAAGCAACGGATCCCTGCCAAGGGTGACCGTTGCCAACGGTTAGTGGGGACCATAGATTTCAAAAAATTAAAAAAAAAACAAAAAGAAAGATTTAGCCGTTGTACCGGTCCGGGTCGGGCCGGTTAAACCGGTACACGGTACTGTTCACGTGGACCGAGTTTGACCGGTCCGGTTAACTGTTAAAAAAATAAACGGACCAACCCCCTCTACCCCTCCTACCCAGCCCCACCCGGCCCCTATGTACCGGGCCGGTCCGGTTCCGATTTTTTTCGGTCTCGGCCGGTCCGATTACGGGTCAACCCAGCCCGTTAGACACCCTTAGGCTAGAATCATTTGTTTCCTTGATATGAAATTTTGCTAATTCTATATATTTTTGTTGCTATTGTGTATTTATTTTGGGACTACGGATGTGGGATTCCGGTAGCTCCCCTTGTCTGTTTATTTTGGGACTACGGATGTGGGATTCCGGTAGCTCCCCTTGTCTGTTTATTTTGGGACTACGAAACGGGATTCCGGTAGATCCCCGCGCACTATGAGTTGGACTACGGAACAGGATCCCGGGAGATCCATTGGATATGTACATATGGGACTACAAGACGGTATCCTGGGAGATCCCTAATTGTTATTATTAGTGCTGAGTTGTATTCTTTTCCGTGTTTACCTTGCTTCTATATAGTTGTTATTGTCCTGTACATCCTATGTTACTTTACTGTTGTACTTATTTATATTGTTTTGTTCTATACTGTTGATCTTTATATTTTATTTAATCTCAGTAGGGCCCTGACCTTTCTAGTCACTACCCGACCGAGGTTAGGCTTGGCACTTACTGAGTACCACTGTGGTGTACTCACGCCCCTTCTGCGCATGTTTTTCATGTGTAGATCCAGGTACTGCGACTCAGTCTTATTACCCTTGAGGCGAGGCGACTGCTCCAGCGACTTCGAGGTATATCTGCCATGTCAGCATACCGAGGAGTCCCTTTCTATTCTAGCTTTTAAACATTTTCCCTTCTGTATTTCTTTCCCTTGTTAGATATTCTGGAGTTAGACTTTGTAGTGATCCTTAGCTTGTGATTCATGGGTTTTTGGGTCTTGAAAATATGTATTGGTTGAGAGTTAAATATTGTGTATGTCGAGCGGCACTTTTAAACACTGTCCTCTTACTCTAATTCTATTTTAAATTATTTTTCTTCCGCGAATTGGTTTATTTTCCGCAATTTAGGCTTACCTAGTCGTAGGGACTAGGTGTCGTCACGATGGTTCACGGAGGGCGAACCGGGGTCGTGACAATTTCCCATTCTCGCTGAAGGAGCAAATTTTCAATCAATTTAAGGTATAAATATTCTTTTAAGCAATTTAATAATTTATATTTATGATATTTCTTGTTTAATATTTAACTTTTAAAATACAGAGCAAGTGTGTATGGGAACACCGCTATAGCGCGAAAATGGCTACAAATTTTAATCACAAAGCTCACAAGCGATTGTCGCATTCTTTCTCCGAAGCTAGAAAGAAGAACAAGAAGCCTGACTGGTTACTTCAAAATTTATGGGAAGATTTGCAAAGTCAATGGCTTACCGCAAAGTTCTTGGAGAAGAGAGAAAAAGGAAAGAAAGCTCGCGCATCTGAGAAGGGAGGCTCCTTGCACACTGGAGGTGTGGTCAGCCTAGGGACAATAAAAAGAAGATTGGTACGTAATTGCTTAAATTATTTTAATTTTCAAAGTATATCTATTCAGTTTATTAACTAAATTAATTTGTTTTCAGAAAAAGAAGTTAGGGCGTCCAATGAACCATAATGAGCTATTCAAGGTTACGTATATTGTAAAGAAGAAGAAAGAGACAGATCAAGAAATGTGGGTCGAGGACTGGGCCTCGACTGTATATGTAAGCTTTCACTTTTCTTTAAGTATTTTGATTTACTTTTATATAAATTTTGAAATACTAATTCAATTTAAATTTTCGTATAGGATCACTACCAAAATAACGTAGAGGAGTTCATCCGCACTCAGCCAACTAGTGTATCGTGCGAGCCAATCCAACCTTCGGACGAGGATGCTGAAAGAATATGGATGGAGTCTGCTGGCAGTTCAAAATGGGGGAAGGTATACGGTCTTCCTACTTAAAAGTTTCATTGCTATAAGTGTGGAATGCATGGAATAGGGACTTCCTCGCAAGGCAAGCAACTTGATGGGGAGAGCCTCACCGCTATGCGGGAGACTGTGACAAAGCTCACATCCGAGCTAGAAGCGACCAAGGAAAAAGAAAGGGTTAGAGATGCTCAATTCCTTGGCATACAAGCTCATATCAGAACTCTCCTATCTACTGGAGCTTTTCTGTTGCCCCGGTCTCGTGAGTCATCGCCAGAGGCTCGACTTAAACGTGAGCGTTCCTTCCATCCTCCCCGTGATCGTTCCTCCCGTCCTCACTATGGTCGTTCTTCACATCCTCCACAAGACCCTTCTCGACACCGTCTTGAAAGTTCATCAAACGATGATGATGAATTCGTACAAAACACTCCTTGACTTGTATCTACTTTGAACTAGACAAATAGAACCGATTCTGAACTAGTTGTAATAAGTATTAACTTGGTTTTGGATTTTTTAGTTCTATTGAACTTTAATTTGTTAGTTTTAATATATTTATTGAATTATGTTGTTCTTGTTGGCATAAAATGCCTATTTAGGAATTTTGGTATGCTGGCAGGTGGTGTAGTTGCCAAAACAGGCATTTTATGCCAAAATTAAAACCTAGAAAATCGACCAAAGTTGGTCGGTATTTAATTTTTAAAAAAAACTTCTGATTAGCGACCAAAGTTGGTCGGTTAATGAACAAGGATTACCCAGATTTAACATTTACCGACCAACTTTGGTTGCTAATTTTTAAATTTTAATTTTTTAAAAAAATATATATTTTAATTTACTGACCAACTTTGGTCGCTAATCTTTAAATTTTAATAATTAATAATATAACGTAATTTACATACACCGACCAACTTTGGTCAGTAAAATTAAATTATTAAAATATGTTACCGACCAAAGTTGGTCGGTATGTGCTTTAAATTGCACAGTTGGTCCTTTTACCTTTGCGATCAACTTTGGTCGGTAATTAGCGACCAACTTTGGTCGGTATATAAAAGCGACCACTAAAATAGCGACCAAGCCTGTTTGGACGGGTTTTGGTCGATATTTTGAATAAACAGATCAACGTGGGTCGCTCTTTGTGGTCGCTAAAACCCGGATTTCTAGTAGTGTTAGTTCAATTTGCCTTATTGAATATCTTGACACTAAGCTGTTGGATATAATGTGTTACGTGCGTCCATAAATCAAGAATTGCTGCTAAGTCAAAGATGAAAATAGTGACACATCTTTTGGCAAAAGAAGGATCAAAGTTGGCCAAAGCAGATATGAAACTCCATTTCGCAGCACCACCGTACTTCACGAAGGCAGCTATCTATCCTAGCAGACAGTCGGGGTCTATTTTATGTAAAAAGAACTTATCCAAAGATGTTTGTCACAATTTATCTAGCTTTGGATACCCATGAACTCAAAGAAGCACTGTTATGTCGTGTTATGTTGCAAATAACTTTTGTTTTGCGAATGGGACATCTAATTTATGTAATGGTGCTAACCTTAGAATACATAACTGGTAGGTGCTGAATGGCTATATTTCCATAATGATATCAAGGTAGTCCACATATTAGCAAGGAACTGAGATGAAACAGATAAGCTAATTAGTAACGGAATGGCGGAGAAGGAACTGCAGATAGCATTGGTCCTTTCATGTTTTCTCTTTAAATATTTCAAGTTATTTACTGTCGATGTGCTTAGAAGTTAGAATCTAATAGCTGCATAATACCATATGAAGACTTCCTTAAATATTTATCCTAATACAATCAAACTGCAAAGAAACCATTCATTCGAATGCATTAAATATGGGTTGAGGACAGGATAAAGATCATTAATAATTGCCTGTAATTTTATTTTCAGCATCTTCCAAGAAATATAACACATTGCAGAACTTTTGACTAGGGATTGACTGCAGAAGCGATTTATTAGAACAAAGACTCCTCCTTATACGTGTATGTATACAATATTGGTTATAGCATGAAAAAGATAAGGTAACGTATAACAATTACAACAAATTCGGAAAGAAAAAGACAATCTGTAAACTTGCCGTATGAGAGGCAGATTCATCTATATTGGTCGATGGTTTTGGGTTCCACTAAGATTGGCCCAGAGGAGGTAGAGGAATGGAATTTATTTTCAAGATTACGACTCTGATCTATATTGCTCACCGCAAAAGCAGGGTAACAAAAATCAAAAGCTGGACATTGCAATTTGCCTTTTCACTTTTCCTTTTCTTCCATAAATTGATCTCTGCTCTTGTGTACTTTCCTGCAGCAGATTCAACTACTTCATTCCTATACTTCTGGAGGCTGTCGGTTTATACCAATGAGCTGCTTAAACAAAAATTGAGCCATGAATATGTTTCCACATTGGACATAGTGACACTTTTCAACAAAGGCAAAAGGTGGAAGAAAGAAGAGATCAAGTGAGAGCAATACCCTAGTTAGGTACANTTTTTTTTTTTTTTGTGAATAAAAAGTGATACACGAGTAAGTTGCTTGGTTCAAGATGAACAGGATACGCCAAAAAAACAACTAACAAATATATAGCACCTTTTTTAACATGGAAGGGGAAAAAGGGGAGAATAAAAGGCCTCGTAAAGCAGAAATTCTCAACATTTTAGAACAAGTTGTCACCATAGGAAAGAGTACCTTGTAAAGCTTTCCTTTCTTGGCATAGTGGTTGACTACAGGAAGAGTTACAGCTTTATATACTTTTAGGCGCTCCTTGACTGTATGTTCATTATCATCAACTCGCCCCTGAAAAAGAAATGTTATATTATCTTTTCCTCTTCAGGACAAACGTAAAACATAAAAGCAGTCACCTCATTCCGGTTCAATACTCGTTTGACCATTACTTCTTCAGGGCAATCAAAGAAAAGCACAAAGTTTGGTTCAGCACCAATCTGCATTCACATCTGAACTTCATAATCTTTAAAATCAACAACAGGATCACCAACTTCGCAGTGCACCAGGTAAACTGGAATGAAGTTCCTTTAAATAACTAAACATGGCTAGAGAATATCCAGTTTAACTGACAATGCTCATTACATTTAAAGACTAGAGAAGCAAATAATTTCATCAAAGGAACTTACAATCCTTTCATATGCCGTCCGGTTCTCTTCACTTCTTGGAAAACCATCAATTAGAAACTTACGATTTTCAGCTGATTCAATTGCCTTTTGAATCAGCTTGACAGTCACCTCTGATGGAGCAATACTTCCTTCCCTCATTAGCTTTTGAATCATGGCACTGAATTCAGATGGAAAGATATTACAAAATTTTGTGGGACCTGAACTAAAAATCCACAATGGAAACATGGAATTCACTGAATTCAGATGGAAAGATATTACAAAATTTTGTGGGACCTGAACTAAAAATCCACAATGGAAACATGGAATTCACTGAATTCAGATGGAAAGATATTACAAAATTTTGTGGGACCTGAACTAAAAATCCACAATGGAAACATGGAATTCACTGAATTCAGATGGAAAGATATTACAAAATTTTGTGGGACCTGAACTAAAAATCCACAATGGAAACATGAAATTCATACCCCTCCTCAGTGCTGGAATACATCTCTTTCCTCAGTAGATCTCCTGCACCTATGTGTTCGAACCCAAAAGTTTCAGCAATCTTCAGGCATTGAGTACCTTTACCACTACCAGGACCACCTAAAAGGACAGCATAACTGCTCAGTAATTCCATATTTTACCCCAAAAATCTAGAAAACAGTAAATGCAACAGACATATTCCTATGTATACTCACGTGTAGAACTTTAGCTGAAAAACTGCCAATAAAGGGGAATGTATGTACTAGCGTCTCCATAAACATTAAACAAGACGATATTATAGGTTGTCTGCAATGCGACCTATATTTATCACTTTCCACTACAAACTAGCAAAGAATGAGATGAAGGCAAACTCTTAAGTGAACGCGACAAATTTCTGCTCACGCAAGCATAAAGAAAATTTGATATAAAGTTGCAACGTATATGGTTAAACACTGTTTTAATAAAATAAAATAAAAAAGTGATTATGAGCATAGGTTGCTCATAGACAGACATAATAAGCAATATGACACATTATTGTTGGGCTAAGCCAGCCCGAAGATACTTTTAACATCGTGTGACATTGTCTGCTCGGGCCTAGCCCTCTCGGTTTTACTCGAAAGGCATCACACAATTTAGGAGTATCCCTACACCTTATAAGTAGGTTCTTGCTCTTATTAACTACCAATGTGGGATTTTGTTCATACAACCAACAATTACTTCTAGACTCATTCTCTTCATTCAAATAAGAGTGTCCTAATCAGTATCATGAAAATGTCTACCTTGCCATAAAGAAACATTTGTACCTCATTATCTTTTGCTTAATGTAATACATGATTAAATGAGAACCAGTATCAAAATTCTCAAAAGAAAACTGGTATGTTCCACCGATCGGCCCATCCCAAAGTCCAACTACGAGCTTTTTAACTGCAACAACTTAAATATACGCTATTGGAGCTGGAATTACCGTGGCTGTTGGAACAGATTTGCCCTCCAATGGATCCTTGTTAAGGGATCTAGATTGTACTCATTCCAATTACCAGACTCAAAGAGTCCGGTATTGTTATTTATTGTCACTAACTCCCCATGTCAGGATTGGGTAATTTGCAAGCCTGCGGCCTTCCTTGGATGTGGTAGCCATTTCTCAGGCTTCTTGTTCTTATTAACTATCAATGTCGGACTTTGTTCATACACCAACNCAAAATGAAGAAGAGAAACAACACATACTTTAGCAAACAATATTGGAAGGAGATGATTTGAATGGAGAATCGTGGTAGGTGAGGATTCGTATTGCCGGCCCCGACTTGTTTGAGACTAAGGGGTAGTAATAATTATCAACAACAACAAAAAAGTAGCACGGTCTACTCCAAGGTCGGAGAGATATCTATCTCAGACTAGCTACAATTAAGAAAAGATTTAATTGGGATAATCATTGAAGAGATAAATCAGGGGCAGAGCTACAATGCTCCTTACAAGTTTGGCAGTACCTAGTAATAATACGTACAAATGATCTATTCAGAAATTAGTTAGCTGCCTTTTCTAGAATCAAGAACCCATATACTGAAAATCCTAGAGATATTAACCAAATTCCGACAAGATAAACTAGAAAAAATCAGTGTCTGAATAATGCAATCAAATAGACTAAAAAGTGAATTTAGTTACCCAAAACAAAAGCGACATAAGGGCTATTTCTTGTGGAAGAGCTTTCACTTTCTACCTACACGCGTAACAAAGGGAAAAAAAGGGAAAAAAAACAGGAGTCAATAACATTTCGTAGGAAAATTAATTCACCGTAAGAAATGCTAAAAATAATGCAATAGAAAAAAAAATTCGAATAGCGCTGAACAACAAAAACAAAACGAATTACCGGGTTGATAATTTCAGTAGAAAAAGCTTGATAAATCTTCAGCTGGTCAGCTCTTTTCACCTATTTACAGTAGATAATAATATCCAGAGAAATTGACAACAATATTGAGAGGTTTGCAGCAGCAAAGCCAAAGAGATTGGATCAATTGTGGTAAAATACATACCTGGTGAAAATGGGAAAAGAAGAGAGGGAGTGAAGTCAAACGCCTCCTGTACATCTCTGATCCTCCTATTCCTTTTCTTTTTTGGAAAAAAATTGGAATGATTCTCTCTCTCTCCTGGGTTTGGATTTCAGTGTTGAAAAAGCACGTCGACTGAAGTGAGTGAGTGTCACATAAACAATATCTGTGCGCACGTTAGAGTCCCATAAACGCTGCAACAGTTGTCGGCACCGTTTCCAAATCGGGTTTGGGTCTCTCCGCTTCTTCAATGACTTTTTGAGTTTAGACTTTATACCTAAGGCCCTAGGGTTATAATCGTAACCGATTGAATCAAAATCAGCCTTCTATGTCTACTACTGAAAAATCCAAAAAAGTAATCTTTAAGTGGGTCTAATTTAGAAAAGTTTCTAAGTTGTCCATAAAATTGTTTTCTTGCACGAATTACATTGAATGACCTTTTTCCCTTTTGAGTAATTTGGTAGTGCTGGTATTAACAAATTACTACAACTACTAAGTTGAATGACCTTTTCTTATTAAGTCGGTATTTTATGCCTAATCTTAAGTTACTAACAAATTTCTTTCTCTTTTGTTCTTTTCTTTGTTTGGTAGTACTTCAATACCTCTTAATCCCAATATCAGTCTGGTATGAGTTTGATCAAACTCAAACTTGGTTTGCTAATAAAGTGAAATTAGCTTTTTGCCTTTTCTGAAGCTTATTAAATTTTTCCAAGTTTTGAAGTCCTTTTAGTCACTTTTGGAAAAAGGTGGCTTTTAAAAAGCTCTTTTTTGCTTTGGCAAACTTCATGAATAACCCCTTAAATTTAACACCAACTGCCAAGTAGACACTTTAATTTTGCTTAGTGATTAGTTAGGCACCTTTACTCTGCAGAAATGATGTATAAATGGTCACTAGCAAAATTCAAGTATTTACCTCATATTTGGTGCCAAGTTTAAAGAAGCATCTATGACTTTCGAGTTTTTCTTTCGTAGTTTCTTAGGGAAGAAATGGAGTGAAAGTTTGAAAAGATATTATAAATATTTACAAGATTCGTCACGTTAATTTTCCTTTATGTCTTGGTCTAATTCGGTCCTTCACGTTCTCTTCGAAATATTGCAACAATAAGAAATTAATTAAAAAATAAAAAACAGAAAGACGTCACCGTCTACCACTTACCATTGGAACAACCAATTCTAGGGGAAGAAGAAAAAGAATATCAAGATGAGTATCTAACCAATAACTGTTAAATAACTAATCTCAGCAAATGTGTTTTGCTGCAGTGACAATCAGGAATCAGACACTTCATTATTTTGGAAGAGTTTCTGGAAATTACAGTGATTTGCTCCCTTCTACTCCAGTGAAACTTCCAGCTTCAATCAAGAAAACGTTCTTGGCTAGGGAGGAGCAACTTTGATGGCCTCCAAAACTGATTTGGTTATGCCTTTTTTTCCTTTCCCCAGAATTCGGTTATGGCTTTTTGATATTCAATATTGAGAATCTAAACTTGGGCTTCCCAGTGACACGGACAAACTCAGGAACACCAGAGATGCCTACTATTTGGACAACCAAAAGCCTTGAAAGCGGTTCAACGGTCAGTTTAAGGCCTGAACACTGATAAACTGCAAAATTTTAACATATTTAAGACCACTTATATACAAAATCCCTGACAAAAGGGGTTGAGGAGAAGAGAAGGGTGCAATTAAGTGGCATCTACATATTCTCCACAGCGTTGACATCTCTTAGGTCCTCCTGAATGTCAACGCGGTACAATCTGCTGCACAATCCTTAATTTGGCAGGAGGCAGAGGTTTTAACCAAATAATCATCTCTTCACCTGGAGGCCTTAGCTGAGGTGGAGGATAGAGCCTATTCCACATGATGCCATCACATTTTCGTTGCGGAAAACGTCGCCGGCACTTAGAAACAAAGTGAGGCAACATGTAACTGCGGAAGCAGTAAAATCCTTTTCTCAAGAAACAGATGCGTTTTCAGCTTCCTCTGATTCTTTAGGAGTCTTTCCGGCTAAATCATAATTAATAGAAGCCAGCTGTGACAAGTTCTGGAAGCATCCAAAGAAGAAAGAGAGAAGCAAATGAGAGAGAGAGGGGAGAATGAAGAACAGAGAGAAGAGGTCAGTTAGCACATTTGATTAGAGAAATATAGTAATCAAAGCTATCGTGTCCAAGAGTCTCTCAAACTACAGCAAGACTTATCAGGTCAAATGTGCTTGTCAATACTCTAGAATTCATCACAAAAGAGATGTAAAGCAACTAAACAGAGATAACACCATCTTCATGTACATTACTCAAACAATAGGATCATAGCCAGGCAGCATTTCTTACCTTAAATGAAAAATTACTGAAGGAGTAGTTCACATTCAGGGCAGGGGTACTAAACTCTGCTAGATTACCGCATTCATCTCCCTGTCATGACAAATTATGAGTTAGAACGGGATACCAACAACATATACCAGAACTTTGCGGGTAGAGTGATTTTATCTATTTTGAATATCAGAGGGTCAAAGGGCAGACAGGTATAAACCGGTAATCCTTCTGTCAGAAATCCAGGTGGCCCAGGTCGTAATTAGATTTTAGCTATAGAAATGCTCTGCAAATTAGAGAAATCTATACCGCTTCATCCTGTAGATTGCTGTATGAACTGCTGCTACATGAGGCACTGCCACTCTCACTCAACTCATAAAAATCACTACCTCCATTGACATTCTCATCTTCTGGATTCCAAATGTAACGGCTCATAAAATAGCTAGTGTCATGTGCATCAGCAGACGGGACAAACGTAGCCTGTCGACAATTAATTATAGCATTAAAAGTTCCTCCTGACCAAATCCTTTTTGTTGGAGGAATGGAGAGAAAGACAGAAAGAGAAAGAAACCTTTTGCCTTGCAAGTGTGTCCCAGTTGATATCTCTGAAGAAAAGATGTCGCTTTACCTGTTAAAATAAAGAAGGTGAAAGGGAATAAACTTGAATTTTCTTTTACATTTCATAGTTTAGAAGTGGCTGGAATTCAGTGTGACTTGGTAATGGGGAATTTTCACCTCTCCTGCCCCTGTTGCACCTAACCTTTGAACTGGGTTTTCATTCAGCAACCTAGAGAAAGCAAAAAATGAAATTAAGCACAGAAGTAGGCAGCTTCTCAATCATGTGCCAAGTACCTTCCTGATACTAGCTACTGAGACTTTTATGAGTAGTATAGATTATTCAGTCATGTGAAAGAAACTGGAAATATCAACCTTTATTTTTGTAATTTTCCTAGAAAGCAAATAATAACTCCCACGGTAGATGAAAGGGAATTTGTTGGCTTTTGCGAAGTTAGAATCACAAGTATTTCTGATAATTACCAAAAACCAAGACTTTTGTTGCAGGACTTACTTGTTAATTAAGTCATATGCTTCCAAGCTCATTTCTTCTGGTATCTTAGGCCAAGGTATGTCCCTGTTAATGATATTGTCAAAAATTTGCTGCAACAAAATAGAAGCACTTGATATTAGGTTATGCCACATGTTTACACATGCATAACAAAATTGTTTAACAAACTTCCTCAAAAGTCGAAGAACAAATGATTTCTATCTTAGAGAAGTTGCCCAATCGGAGCAAAGAACAATTTTCCATCCACAGAGAAGTCCTTTTTGCAAAACTCAAATGACATAGAATAAATAAATAAAGTTAAAAGCATCTTGGCTTTTAAATAGGTTCATAATTATTATAGCAGCACCAACAGAATGGAAAGAAACCTAAGCGCCCCTGAGAAGTAATCTGGGTTTAATACAATAGGTCATAATCCAAGAATTAAATCTCCGGAAAAGCAAACTGTTCCACATTGATCATTCTTAACAACCAAAGCATTCAAAATGAATTGTATTACCATCGAGAATGTATGACAAAATTAGCACAACGTAGTCAGTTATATAACTCAATATTACAGAATACCAGAACTGTCAACTTAAGAAAACAGGATACTCAACTTTAAAGAACCACAATCGACGTGGATATTCTAACTGGAGCAGCTCATTCGTTCTTATTAGCCATGCACACATGAAGGAAGACATTAATTACATTATGGCCTTTCAGAATCATAAACATCATCACTAGTGTGTTATAACCATGGAACGAACACTCTCATCCACATCTAACATATTTCTCATCTTCAACAATAAATTTTATGAAAATTAGAGAGGAGGTTCAGCATAAAATTTGAAAAAAGATGGACACAATCATCAGAGTTCATGCTTCAAGTCAACCTATCTGTCACAGTCTACAATGAGGATGAATCATCCTGCAGGACTACAAATCTGTCATATCCATCTTAGCGGGAAAAGCAGGCTAGAGTTAGCTGTTAGTCTAAAAGTTGCAAAAGGAGAAAGGAAAATCCTGGTTAAGAGGAGTTGTTAAGTAATTAGTACATTTGTTGTTCAATGAGATTCGAAAAGCATTTTATATTGATCTAATCAGAATATAAAGTTGATTTTTACATATATATATATATATATATGTATATATATATATATATATATATATATATAATGAACATTGAAATCTTAAAATTTAAGCAACAAGGGAAGGCAATCACCAATGACAATGTCCAAAAGAATAATAATCTCTACAAAAGAAAAAAACTGCAGAGTTGTCTTGTTGTCTTATTGGATACAGCAAGCATACCTGAGGATGTTCTGCATTAAAAGGAGGAAGACCAACAAGAAGCTCAAACAAAATAACACCCACTGACCACCAATCAGCTGTTACACCTGGAAAAAATAGATTTATTTTAGCTGAAATCACAATGAAACAACTTGCATAAAAACATATGCACTAACTCTCTCCAACTTATCAGACACGATTTGAACTAAGCGTGGATTAAGACATTGATTTTGTTTAAGAATATTATAGGTGAAAGTAGAAAGAACTTTCAGAATAGTTTTCCAAAGTTGATTTGTACGTGAAAAGTTACATGTTTAAATGTGAATTCTTGATGCTAGTAATGGAGACATAAGAGTAGGAGTTTGTCAAAATTTTCAGATGTTCCAAAAGGGACAATGTGCTTCATAAACTGGGAAGAGGGAGTAGTTTGTGACTATGTAAGATCAATCATGAGGTAAGTCCAAACCATGTCCCATGCCGAGAAGTATCTCCGGTGCTAGATAATCAGGGGTGCCAACAACTGAATTCTTTTGCCTCTGTTCTCTTTTGAGTGATTGCTCTTCCATCTTGGGTTTATCTTCCCCAAGAAAGGCAGAACTTGGCACTGATGGTCCTGCTAAGTCATCAGTGCTATTGATGAGACCAACCTTTGAGAGCCCAAAATCTGTTAACTGTAATTATAACAATTAGATTGTGAGAACTAGGAAACTAAAAAAAAATAAAAGTCACAGAAGATGTCAAATCCTTTAAACAATGCCTGAAATTCAACTCAGGTTAACAACAATAATTCAGACGTTCGAGTTTTTGGACCTTTCAACAAAGTAAAAAAGACTACTTTTTTTTATAATGTAAAGATTAACAAGTAAAAAGAGTACTAAGC